TGGGGAGGCGAGGGAGATCGCTCCGGCCGGGGTGGGGAGTGCGTGGGGCTGCCCTTGGGCGAGGGGAACCCCCTTCCTGCTAACATCTACCCGGGGGGACATCAACGATCCCTTGAGCGAGGCTGAGGCACATGTTTAAGCGGCGGGAGCCTGCGAGCACCTACCAAGGTTTTTCCCGTGCTACTTGACCCTCGAAACTCCAGCTGAGGAAGCAAAAAGTGTTGCCATGTGTGTGTTTCTGGAAGTCGGGCTGGCGCGTTGCACGTTGACAGCGGGCCTGATTCCTGGTTTAGCCTCTAGGTGCTGCCATACTACAGCACTCAGCGCGGCCCCTGCTTGTTGCTGTGTGAGGTGAGGGACACCGGCGGCTTGATGTCACATTCCGGTGGGGAGGAATCTAAGGGCATCACTTTACGTGGGCCCTGATAGGACCCCGATACCTGCAAACGCAAGGAAGTGTAACAGTTTTCTATACACCATCGTGTTTATGTAACGAGATGCTTACAAGATGTTTAGATAACATCTTCATTCCTTTTGTGACTCTTAAGGAAAGCATTTATTCTCTGAGCCTCTTCCACACTCATGTAGCACCTTCTCCCTGATGTGAATATGTTCTGCGAGGTACTGTTCTGCCAGCTCCTGCAGCGGGGCAGAGCAGGGACAGGTTAAGTATTTGCTCAAGACACTTCCTAGGAGAGGAGGCAGTAAGTGCTGCAGTTGACTCTGGATACCCAAAGGATTTTAAGTAAATCGAATGCCCAGTGCTTTTGACCAAAGACACAGATCTTCCTAATTTTTAACTCTTAGCATTTTTCTGGTAGCTAAAGAAGTTTCATGTGCAGTGGTACCCTTTTGTAGGTAGATTTTAACAATCCCCTAATGCACAGGCTTTCAAACTTGTGTTTGGTGCAGCATCTACAGCTATTCCGCAAACAACAGAATCCTGTAGCCCTAAACTTATGCTGTCTTTTACATGTACTTTATTGCTTTTCACATTAGGAAAGAATTCTGAGATCCTGTTGTGTCATCTTTCTTGTAATATTATGAATGACAGTGCTACCATTTTAGTCACATTTTAGAACTGACAAATATGGCCTCTTCCATATGTCTCTTGGGAGGTATGTTCTGCTTTATGGACCCTGCTATTCGTTCATGATGGGACTGAACTTTTTGTTTAGTGTCTGTGTAGTACTTCAATCATACAAACCGAAGGAGTTTTTCAAACCTAAGTTTGCATTAGATTTTTAATGTGTGCAGAGAGAGAATGATTGTGTACCAGTGTCAGGTAGGTTGCAGTTAATGTAAGCAAGTAGCTGAGATTTTTATTATTTCTGAAGGTAAATGGATGCTTGCTTTTCTGATTTATCTTTTTTATTTAGCCTTTGTGCTATAATAATGCCTGGAAACTTCTTTCAGTGGTTTTTGAATGTGCCAGCTGAAGAATGGGTAAATAGAGTCAGTTCATGCAGTTACTTGTTTTTCAAATATCTTGGCAAGGTCTTTCACAAAATGCTCTTACAGAACTACGTAGTTGTTGATGAGCAGGGAGGCATTACTGTGGATCAGAAACCTGGTTTATAGCTCCAATGAGGAAATGGAAAAAAAAATCACTTATGATTGGAGAGGTAATATCTGTAGTTGGCACAAAATTGTTTAGGATTATAAAGAAAAGAGATAAGCATCAGGGAACCTAGGGGAGCTGGCAACCTGGTGAAGATATTAATCAGTGTAGATAAACAGAAATATGCATTTTGCTTGAACTGCCTATTTGTCTTGTTTTCTTAAATTACACTAAACCAAGAAAAAGACTGAGTAGTCCTTTAATCTGTGAAGGTTACTGACAGCTTTGTAGCAATAATCTAAAAAGGAAACAGCAGTCTGTAAGGGGGAGATGGAAAATACGTTGTAAGCTCATATATTAATCAGTGCTGAAACTCAGTTTGAGTCTGCATTTGGTAATGGCTACTCTGTCTCAAAGGCAAATATCAGAGACCCTGAAGATATGATTTGAATGTGGCAAATCTTACAGGAGATGAAATTGAAAGATGTTGTCCAGAGATAAGAGAGATGATATAACATATGTAGGAAATACTGAAAAATATAGAGAAGATAGAGCAGGACATTTGTCACCTTTTCTTCTAATCCAAGGGCTTCTAAGGAAGTTTGAAATGTTGGTTTATGACTTAAGTGACCTCACATTCAAGAGAGTCTGTATCTAATGGAGCTGTGTTTTTTGTTTTGTTTTTCTCAAAAGGGCAATCTCAGAAAGTAAATGTTCCTGAAGACCAAGCAGACAAGTTGCTCCTTGCAAGCTGGGGTCTTCCCAAAGCTGTTCTGGAGAAATATCACAGTCTGGGAGTTGTACAGATGTTTGAATGGCAAGCAGAGTGTCTAATGCTTGGACAAGTTCTGGAAGGGAGGAACCTAGTTTACTCAGGTATGCAGATATCTGACTACTACTGACTTTGCCAGCACCATTCACAAGAACATGCTGCTGCTCAGTGATGCTGATCTCGTAGGTACAAAGGTCAACAAACTCTCTATTTTGGAGAATGGCAGAATCACAGAATGGTTGAGGTTGGAAGAGACCTTTGGAGATCAT